GAGCGTGTTATTTCTGCGGAACCGATTCCCGGTCCGTTACGTAGCCCGCGAGAGTTGATCAAACATAAACGAGGCTGGCCCCGGATCGATCTTGAATTCCTAATCGAACGATCGTCGGCTGTACGCGGCCGATAACGCGTTCAGCGGCACGAAAATCTTAAGCGTTTTCCCATAGAGTTTGTCTTTTGTAGCAAAGGAAAGTAGGAGTAATTATGAATTGTTTGGCGTTGCAACGTTCGAGAGTCACCTCTCGAGTGCAAAGGGTTAAGCGGTCGTTTAGGTGTCGATATCTGAATGGTCCGAGCGGTCCCTCCGCGAAAAAAAAGGGAACGACTGCTGAATGCGCCGCGGAAGAGTCGAAATAACGTGTGTACGCGCGTTTCGAGTGCAGCGCGCCGCAGGCACTCGGCATTGATTTAGCGAAGGACAAACAGAGATCCACCGGAGAGGCTAATGGTTCTTCTGGGGCGTTCAAGAGGCGCGCGGAACCGTTCCGCGATATTTATTCGCGCCTCCGATCCCATTGACTGAACGAGACAAGGCGGAGCGTGTGCGGCGACGGAGGCCGGGGGATTTTAAAGGCGTTTCGGGCCAGCTCGTCAGTTTATCCCGCGCGCCGCGGCGTTTGCCGAGCCGCTCGATCTACGACGTCGGCTTCTCGAGCGTACACAGCGGCGGAAAGAAGTTCTTCGGCAGGAACGCGGGCCTGAGTGGTCAGAATGGAGAGGGTGCCGCCTACCTCGCGCGGATCGACGACTTAGGCGTACCATTCGTCGGAACCAAGAGAGATAATGCGAAATGAAACCGATCGAAAACATTCTTCGTTGAACACACGACCAATTGTTTTCTCGTTAGTTCGTTTCAAGTGTCTACGTCTAATTGGAAAGCGTCGAATCGTTTCACGGGACTGTCGCTCGCAGACTTCATGTTTCGTTCGTATAGGTCGCGGAAATTAGTCTTGGGAACAGAGAATTATAATGTGCATTCGCACGATTGCACCGATGGGAATGATCTTAAATTGTTATGAAGTAATGTTGAGAAATTGTAAATCTAGCGTTAACGCGTCGGATGCTACAGTTGAAACGGTTCTTAGTTGCTCGATATCGCGGTTCTCGCGTCGTTATCATTATGCTATTATTATTCGACCTCGGTATAATGTCGCTCTAGAGATTAAGGGGATCGCGGGATTCAAAGCGTATTGACCGCGTTCGCCGTCGACTTTGCCGTCAAAGGGTCCGCGCCAGTTTCGACGCGCTGGAACAGATTCTTTGCCGAACGAATAAAGTTCGGGCCCGGTTCACCGTTTTCTGTTCTTGTTTTTTAATGACCCTGAGTCTGTTCAACTGAAAAGGTCGCGTTTGTTCGTGCAACGAATGCACACTTCATCAAACTTTTATCAAAAGTTTTTCATTCAGTTATCGATGCTATGAACCAACGGTAAACACGTGAATTAATACTAGAACTACCGAGGATTTGATACGACTGATATGTAATCATTGGTAAGTTGTCGAGACCGTTCTGATTGAAGTAGCCGAATTCTCCGGTGAATTCTATGCGGCTTGTTGTTTTCTTCTCGAAAATCGTGCGCCTCGAAGAGTCGACGGTCTCGGAATCCCGGCGAAGATTGGGCGCCATTATCGATAGACACTAGAAGACATTGGTACACCTTTGGTCGCGATGTTTTCGCCGCGCGGAAGGAAAAAAACCGTGGAACGAGGCCCTTTCGGGAAATACACTTCAGGCGGAGATATAAAAGAAAATGAAAAATATCGACCGGCGGCCGAGTTGACGGGTTATCCGGCGACGCAGCGCATCGCGTTAGGGCGAGGAGCTGCGCATGCATGCTCCTCGAGCCTCGGGACCGCCTTCGATTCGATTCAATTCGACTCTGCCTTTCTCCGGCTCCCTCGGTCCAATAAATATAAGCTTGCACCCTTGATCGGGGATGAAAGGGTGCGTCGAATTCGGGGTACATATATCAAACCATTTCGAGCCTACCATTTCCCTCTCGTCGGCTTTCCTTCTCGCGGCCAGGGGAATGATCCCGTGCCCGTTCTTTGTGTCATTCCTGCGGTGTCTTGAGAATTCGGAATCGACTGACGGGGAGATAATGTTTGGGAACGCATGGGAATTCGAGTGTTTGAAATGTTTCAATTTAATAATGAGTTGCTCGGATGCCAGATTAAGTCTAGACGAGAAAATGAATGTTTCGGCTTCTGAAATGATTATATAAGATATTCAGAAGCTGCAAACAGTGCTCTTTGATTTAGAGCAAACGAAGAAGCTAGTAAATCGTGGAATAATTAAAAGAATATTATTATTTATCCGATGGAAATTGACAAAATTCAGGAAACACGAAGAAATCGACTTAACCGTATTGGCTTTCGAGCGATCGAAATGTTTGATTAATTCTGTCGTTCGCTGTTAGCGGTACAAAACGACAGGAAGAAAGTATTTCCGATAACGTTATCCGGGCATTGATTATTCGGCGATCGTTGAATGTTTATAGCGCGTTTTACAGCCGAACGGGGCATTACATTATTAACAATTTCCGTCAGGGTGTACAGTCGAAAAATCGATGAACCGATCGGACGTTTTAATGAACGTTTAATAGGGACTTAATTTGCCCGGCGCGGTATCCGAATCCTCCGGCCGCTGTTCACGGCACCGGTTCATTATACATCCTGTCCGCGGACCGTCATTTTCCAAATAATAATTACTCCGTATCGTTCCCTCGAGGCACGCGGCGGAATTAAACGGTCCCGTTCACACGTATGCGGCCGGCCGCATTATCGATGCGGCCCGGACGATCGAATAAAAGCGTCGTCGTTGTCGCCGTTTCATTTTTAATCGCGACGGCCGGACGGAATCCGTTCGGATAATTCGAACGGTGAGCGAGAACTGGCTCGGATAATTCGATTAACGCGCGGATATGCTTGAATAATTGAAAGACGCGACCGCGCCGGCCTGGAAAATCATTGGATCCCTTCGCGAGTCTGATCGTGCTCCTCTTTTCTTCTCCATGGAGCGACTACTTGGCTCGACTGTACGAAAAACGCGTTCATACGAAGCGTGTCGATGTAGATTTATTTGCTCGTGATTAGCAGAACTTGATAAATCATTTAGACTCGGGTTTTAGAGCCATTTCATTACTCTACAATGATCCATTTCTTTTTAACCCTTAGCAGTCCTATGTCAGAATCGACTTTCTATTTCATTGCGACCTCTACTTGTTTCAACAATTTTTTCTATATTTATTTGTATCACAATTGTAACATTTCAATGACTCCCAAATATTCTTAAATAAATAGAGCGTCGTATTGACCTGTAATCGAATGAACTAACGTCGAACCTCGAAGTGAGAAACCAAGAGCACTTCGGACCGCAAAGGGTTAAACGTAGCCTAAGTCCACTTTCCAAAGAATCAAGTTAATCCTTGCAATAGTTACAATTCCACATAATCTTCTTATTCTTTGTTTAATCTCTTAAGTGGACTTGAGTCACTTTCAAAATAAACGGTTCAACCGACGTAATCAAACACTCTGATCACTCCTCGCGTCCACGGTCTGTTCCATCGTTCGTCGCTCGCAACGCAGGCGAACAATGAAAGATTCATACTTTTATAGGAAGGAAACCGTTCCAGGGCGTTGGGGATTCGGAGGATGTATTTTGGGGAGCGCGAAAGAAGTGACACAGTCTACCGTTTCTCAATTCAATCTTTCAATTTCTAAACGTGCAATGAATAATGCCGGTTGGTCGGCGTACAATATATATCTCTCCGCTAGCGGCGGGGGAGTGACGGACGCGTGGTTAGGGTTGGTTTTTCCCAAAAATTGGGAAAACCCTACTTCCCCGCCAGCGGTGTGTCGGTTGGTTCCGTCAGCCGGAGACCCGGAAACTTCTAACGACCATAGCAGCAACAGCCCTAAGGATCGCCTCGACTTTAAATTAAATAAATATAATTCGAAGCTATTGCCTATCTTGGGCTCAATCCACGGATTAAAAACGACGAGCAATGGGTCCCTGGGCTTTACTGCTGCTAGGATAGACTCGCAACGGTTTTTATATCTAAACGCCTACACTTTCGAATTCGAAAGCAAACATCTCCGTCGCCCGGACGAGCGCGGATGCCGAGGAATGCGCGGTACGCCTGAAAATCGTTCGACGACAGCGAAATAATGGCCGAGCGGTGATGCCGGCGCTGATGTCCCCTCGAACGCGGGAATGAAATATCCCCGGTATGTTCCTGGGCGTATCGGAACGGCCGGGCCCGTGGAAGAGCGGCGAAATAATGGCGGCGAGGCCGCGTAAGAATGGCCTCCGGCCGCGATTTATGTTCCGCCGGGGGAACACGCCGCGTAACGATGATGTTCCGTGTTACGATCGCAATTTCGCCGGCCATTACCCCCCGTATGTAACGCGTCCGTCGCGATACAGTGGTTTATTAAGAACGACACGGCAGCACGCGCCGGTTTCTTTCGGCTCAGCTCGCTGCACAGCGCGGCTGCGTTTTCTGGACGAAACACGAGAACCGAGACAGTGCGAGCGATTTTTCATTGGCAACCCTCAATTCTCGTTACGCGAGTAGTCGAATTTTGGGGTTTGGTCACCGGCGAAAGTATAGTTTGCAATCGCAGCGTAATTTCGCCCGTTGTGGCTAGATTTTCCTCGCGTGGATTGGAAACTTTCGGAAACATCGGAAATGATCAACGTTGAGCCACCGATGACCGACGCTTCTGAATTACTTGAAACAATCGTAACACGCGGTGTCGAATGAGAATGTTTAATAACGTAATTAAGCTGATAACAGTGTGATGCGTGGATTATGTGATCAATGAGTTCCTCTTGAATGATTCCTGCTAACGAACGGACACGTTTTGCTTCTTAATTCGCTGAACATCGCGTAGATTCGACAAAGCGCGAGACTGCGTTTTATTGCCCCGGCGTTCTCCATTATCCCGGCGAATGTTAAAATCCATTGTTTCTTCCATTTGTTACAGGTGACCGTCCAATAGCAGCGTTTCCAGCGTCAACACGGCCTACGGTGAGTCGATATTTCCTGGTATATCCATTCGGCGAGCCCTTTCACGCGCTCGTAAACTTCGCTAACGCGTTTAATAGCGGCGAAAGTGGCTGCGCATTCGCCGTCCGCGTAGAACTTCGAACTTCATTGTAATAACTTTCTTCTCTCCATCGCGGGGAGCGAATTTCTCACGGAATTCCCGTTGCAAAAACCCTTCGAGCTCTTCGGCAAATCTCCCTTAACCCCTTCAGAATGTTCGAAAGTATTCAAAACATTCTTCGTAGACGTCTGAATTATTCATCGGGCTGTTAAGCACCGGGAAAGAAGGAAACCGTGTATCGAGCTTCCGTTACTTAAATAATTCAGTTATTCTCTCGATAATTTTCGATTCCAGATGCCTCGGTGTCCATCGATTTAATTGTTACACGCGGCTATCGGAGTTTAGAACTGTAGGATTCGGAAGTTAGAACGATGCCATTAAGACATCGGAATTATGGAGCTCCAGATGTAATAATCTATTTCTTGGACGGCGAAGGGGACCGAACGATCGTTGAAAAAATCATTTCCTCCAGAATTCGCTTCGCGAAATCACTCCCCTGGGCTCGGATCCTAATCTACATTCACCCCCTTTAATAGCCACTCGAATATGATCCGAGGCCAATCGATCCCGAAAGATGCTAAAAGAGAAATCAAACGATCGTCGCTCCTCCGCCATTAGCCCTTCTCCTTTTCTCCGAGCGTCTCTTCTTTCGTTTTTCTCTTCGGTCCTCGTGAACGTTCGCGGACCTGAATGCTACCAGCAGGTAATTGCTCGAGAAGCGGACTCGTGAAGATTTCAAATGGAATTTAAAATAAATGTACTTCGATTCGTTTGAATTCTATGCATCATTCCTCTGTTATCGATGATTATGCTTTAGAACATACGTTGAAATAGAATGAGGCTGGAATTTTCTTATGTTTTCGATTACTGACCCCTTGTTCTACAACTAGTGAGGTTGAAGATCTTCAACAATCAACAAACATACATATTACTCAGTTCATTCGAGTTCAAAGTAAATATTACTCCTCTGTAATCAACTGTTACACTCAACAGGAAATATAGACACAACATGCTCAGTTTTCCTCTTTCCCAATAAATCATTAATGCAGCCGTATCGATCATAGTTGAGAAAGGAATCGTAGGTCAAGGGGTCAACAACAACGTAGTTACCCCTAATCGCACCACGATGTACCCTCAGTCACTTATGAGTATAAAAAGAACTTTCCAAAAATTTTGGAAACTTTGGAAAGGCAATATGAAATAATGAAAAAATTTAAAAAGTTGAAATGTCACTGACATTGTGGTCCGATTAGGGTTAAATCGACCGCAGTTCAGAAACCATAGGGCAAGGGACCAACGCGAACAGCTTCTGGTTTATCATCGTGAATCGACGGGATCTTGGAGGCGTCTGCGCGATCCGGAAAAGGTTAAGAAACACTGTCCCGGACGAACGAGGGGAACGAGCGAGCGAGCGGTCCACGGAGTAGAGGAAATTGCTCGAACAAATTGAAAACCGCGGACGCTTCCCATTAGGCCGAACGAGCCGAGGCACGATTTCACGGACCGCCGGAATTATACTTTCAAAGTGCTTCAGAAGGCGCATCGGCGTCGGTCGGGTTCTGCTTCATCCCGGAGCCCGAATCTTTTTTCTGGCCCGCTGTTCCCCTGCTGGTTGGTTCTCCACCCCCTCGTTCGCGGGATAATGCGGGATCCAGGCCCTCTGTCTTTCGCCGATACTTTCCCGCTACTTTCATCTCCTCGGCTCGCCCCTCGCGATTTATTCTACAGGCTGGTGCAGAATTGCCTGGGTCGACGTTTGGTTGACCTGTTCCACTTGGCGCCGTGATAAACGAGGCGAGGGTGTTACGTCGCTCGGGGAATTTCGAGGCGAGGCCACGGTTTTTCGGAGGTTCGTCGGATGCTGCTAACCTGTTAACCCTGTGAACTCGAAACCTCCCTACGAACATTAAAGAACCTGGATTGGTAGATGAATTAAGGGTTGAAATTATACAGTGGTCTTTAGAGTATTCCTCATGGGAGGAAAATATTTTTGATATGATTCGAGAAAGTAGAATTCTGTATTTTACGACGCTTCTGTCAGCGAAGGAATTGCCACTGAAACCTGCAATATCCCCTACACAAGGTTTTTTACTTTTCTTCCCAATAAAATTCGGCGATCTTGTTTCGGAACGCCCTGTATATCCTCGAGGCGGAACTTTATTCGGCCGTTTCGTCGGATTACGGATATCAAGCGGACTACAGGGTCGAATACGCTTAGAAAAATGTTGCCAATATTCCTAAAGAGTCTCCGGAGAGGACGTAACGAGCTTTCAATGGGGACGATTAAAATTGCGAACGTAGTTTAGTGTCGGGGTGTCGCTTAATGTAGTTTTTCGATGTTTTCAGCTTATCAATTAACACGGTGGAAAATAGTAACGCGCGTCCCATGATACATAGTTCTATAGTTATATTACAGTTATGTAGTTACACTATTATATAGTTATTCACATCGAACATTTTCTTTTCCGTTATTTACTTCGATTCGTCCACCGCGTCGACTATTCTAACCGTACCACTAAGTGCCGCGACTCTCGTATCTTCCAACGGAAATGTTCGTTTCCCCGGCAGCAGGCTCGCCCATTTCCATTTCGCAATTACCCCGCGTCTCAAAGAAAATTCCGCGATCCTTCGATCGAACCGGCAAGCAGCCTCCCGACGAATCCCGGGAAGCGAGACCGTGGAATCGCGTTCTAAGAGCGCGGTTTGCCCGTGAAATCCGACGGGATCCGGGAACAAGACATTCTCCTGGGGAAATGTCGACGCATCAGCGCAGGAACGGCCTGTATATTCCCAAGGCGGGGCGTGATTCAGCCGTTTCGCCGGATCACGAATACCAAACGAGCGACGGCGTCGAGTGCGCTCGTTCCCCGGGCGAAATAACATTTTTACCGCGCGCGTCGCGAACGCTCGGCCATTTCCCCGTCGAAATCAAACAACTTTCGATGGAATTAATCCCTGGTACAGCGTTTCTTATCAAACGTCGAACTTAATCAGTCAGGAAATTGTCGGGTTGGCTTGCAACTCAGTCCTGTTAACCCTTTGCGAACGAACATTGACATTCCGTAGAGATCAGACGTTCATGTTTGGAGGACTAAGTCGAACAAACGGTTTAATTAGTGAAACAGCAAGAGATCGGCACGCTTCCTTTCTTATTTACCCTTTGAACTCTGTAGACTCCAATATTGCAGCAGTTGTAATATCAGATATTTCAATGAATCTTAAAGAAACTATAAAATTCCAGAGAATCGTTATAGAATTTCTCATTTTCGCTAGGAATGCTATGAAAGTTTTCTTAATTAACTAAGGGGCAATTAAGCGATTGGCGTATAGTTCAACTTCATCTGCCGAAGGTTTCGTACATTTCAAAGAATCTTCGTTAACAAAGGGGACGATCTTAATCGCATTTCAACGAGTTACATTGAGAACGAAGAACAACTCGAGTAAGTAATATTGTGCGGCGATTATAAAGAGTATTGCAGCAGTACGTATAATTAAAAATGCTTTCTCAGTGATAGATATTTAACACGTGAATTGCTCGTTAGCGTAGAAGTCAATGCGTAAATATTCAAAATCGCGAAATCGTCGGTTTACACTCGTCGCGGGGGGAAATTGTACGAGAAGCAATAGCGATAGTTTGTTTGAACTTGAACGCGAGCGAGCAGCTGAGTTCCCGCGCAAGAAACCTTATTGAATTACGAGGGGCTGATTCCCGCTAAGCGGACGCGAAGTTATTGCGGTCAGCCGAGGGATTCGGCTGCCAACGAAACGCACCGGCGTGATCGCTCGCGTCGATCGGCGAATCGCGTGCCGCCGGGATCCTTTCGGATCGTTTCGGATCGCTTTGGATTGCCCGGCGAACGGTTCTCCGCCGAATTTTACGGCTCGACTGCGTCCCCGATCGTAAAACCCATCGACGAGGTCGAACGGGTTCTCGGCGCTCGTCTTAATGAAGAAACTTCGGTGACCCGGCCAATTTTTATTTCCTCCGGATCGGTGAAAAGTCGGCCGATCGCCGGATTATCGGATTACTTTTTGTTTAACTACGAGGTGCGAATCGAGATGTCTCGATCGTGGCGCGGGACACTCTGCTCGACGATAGATTAACCCTTTGCACTCGAGAATATTTTTCTCAACGAATACTCATTATTTTCTGATGAAATATCAATGATATCTTTCACAACTAACACAAAGAAATACCTTGCATGAATTAAGTAACAGAACTATTTTATTTCGATGTTCCACGCGTTGATGCGTTGTATGAAAATTTAATATTGAATCTTAAATTTTATCATTTCCATGGATTAAATCAAATGGCGACTGAAAGGCGCCTCTCGAGTGCAAAGGGTTGACACTAGAACTACCGAGCATTTAATACGATTAATATGCGATTCCTATAAAAATTGTAACAATAGATCAGTTTCTTGAGACATTCATAGTACTCAAGTGGAACTATATTTTTAGTTATGGCCGTTCGGCCACAGATATTCGTTATACCGATCACACCCTTCCGCATACTCGACGCTGTTTGGATAGTGTTGAATGACTGATGCTAAACTAGCAAAAGCAAAAATGCCCAATGTTTGTACATCTAGTCTAAACAAAGGCGACCAGATGTATCTGAATTTTGTCACATAGTCAAGAGAACTTGAAAGGGCTTGTTTTCCAAAGCCGTTACGTTACACTGTAACACATACACTGTTCCATTATTTAACACTATTTTTACGGAACGCGTCAATCTGACGCAGATTGAATTTTATAAACATTATTTGGCAAACGTTTCAATCGGTTTTCGTTGAACCAATATAAATCCTGATTGTCTATTTCCACATCTACAATTTCCAAAATCTAAATGATCGAATATCGACTTCCCCAGGAGCAATAGAATAAACTGTACAATAAACGCCCGTAAACCTAGTGTTAA